CCAACCAACCAACCAACCATCCAACCAATGAACCAACCAACCAAACATCCAACTGTCCAACCAACCAACCCATGAACCAACCACCCAACCCATGAACCACCCACCCACCTATTGCAGCATTCAGAGGTCACCCATGCCATGTCCTCTCCAAGGAGCTTCACCTCCATCCCATCATGGCCAAGTGGAGCCCTCCCAGCGGCCAAGGTGGCCAAGATGGCCACTCACCAGGAGAACACAGGTGGGGAGAGATGAAGCCACCCCAAAGCCAAAACATCATTGACCTTGGGCAGAAGAAGCTTCAAGGAGGTTCTCCAGCACCCACAGGAGGAAGGTGGTGTCTCCTCCAAGCCATGGGAGATGTGGCTGGACCTATGGGACACCCTTGGCCCAGTGTCCTCCTCCCACTTGTGGAGGTAGAGGGACAACCAAAGAGGTGTGGACCAACATGGAGAAAGCAAACCAGGACACTTGAGATGGACCATTCCAGCTGGCCAAGGTGGCTCCATCATCTCTGGGTTTGGTGGCCTTGGAGATGTCCCCCATGAGCAGACAGGAGGACAGGACTTCCCATGGAAGGGCCACACTACCCTTGAGGTGACCTCAAGCTCTTGGTGGCCCCAAGCAGGTGACTCCATGGACTTGGTTGGGCTTCAGATGAGGGACAGAAGAGGGTGGAAAGACCCAGAGTCACCTCATGGAGGTGGCAAGTCCAAGAGGGGACAATGAAACCACCCAAAGAGCCACCAGAGCTTCTGGTGGGTGACTGAACCTCTACTTCTTCCAACCATGTCTTAGCTCCTCATGTCCCACTTGAGGTTTTCTCTTCCCGTTGACATTGGTCAAGGCAGGGACATAGTCATGGACATATGGGACTTTCTCACCTCAAGGAACCTAATCTTGAGGTCTCCTCAGAGCTTACACCACCCCAAAGATCCTTCTGGGTCCTCCAAGCCAACTGGAGGCACGTGGAGCTTTGTGGGTGGAAGGAGATGCAGGAGATGCTCCAAGGTGTCTCCCTCAGCTATGGCTCTTCCAGAAGCTGCTCCACCATGGCCATAGTGGTCAACCATGGAGAAGGAAAGGACCTTGTTGGTTGGGGATCTACTTGAGGGAAGCCAAGATGGAGCTAAAGCATCTTGATGTCAACTGGTGACCTTCCTGTCACCTCAAGGATCAAGGAAGGTCTTGGGGCCACTTGGATGGAGCTTGTAGACATGAGCATAGGATGGGTTGGGTTGGAAAGACCTTCAAGGTCATCTCATGCCATGGGCAGGGACATCTTCCACCAGTCCAGGTGGATCCAAGCTCCATCCAAACTGGTCTTGGACACTTCCAGGGGTGGAAGAGCTTCTTGGGACAACCTGGGTCGATGTCCCACCATGGTGTCCATGAGCTTGAGGACACCATCAAAGGTCCTCTGGGGAGTGGAGGAGTCCCACCACACCCCAAGCTCCATGGGGAAGGTGGAGGATCACTGATGGTGCCCAAAGTGGGTTTGGAGCTCTCCAACCTTTGGGTTGAAGCTCCTCATGGACCACCAAATCCATGGGGACACTTAGGCCTTGGGAATGTTCTGGAATGGTTGGAATTTGGGGACATGGGATTGGAGGAACAACCATGAGAAGAACTTCTTGGAGGGACCAGGTTGGAGGGCACCAATGTTGAGGGACCACCTTGTCCAGGAGGAACTTCTTTGAGAGACCACATTGCCCAGGACCAACTTCTTTGAGGGACCACCTTGCCCTGGACCAACATTGAGGGACCACCTTGCCCAGGACCAACTTCTTTGAGGGACCACCTTGCCCAGGACCAACTTCTTTGAGGGACCACCTTGCCCAGGACCAACTTCTTTGAGGGACCACCTTGCCCAGGACCAACTTCTTTGAGGGACCACACCGCCTGGCCCTGGACCAACATGGAGGGACCACCTTGCCCAGGACCATCCATGAGGAACCAGAGCCTTGATCCAGAAGCTGAGGAGATGCCACCCAGAAGGTGAGGAGATCCCACACAGAACCTCAGGAGATCCCACATAGAAGGGACCAACTCCTTTGAGGGACCACCTTGCCCTGGACCAACATTGAGGGACCACCTTGCCCAGGACCAACTTCGTTGAGGGACCACCTTGCTCAGGACCAACTTTGAGGAACAAGAGCCTTAATCCAGAAGCTGAGGAGATCCCACCCAGAAGGGACAAGCTTCTTTGAGGGACCACCTTGACCAGGATCAATTCCTTTGAGGGACCACCTTGCTCAGGACCAACCTCTTGGAGGTACCACCTTGCCCAGGACCATCCTTGAGGAACCAGAACCTTGATCCAGAAGCAGAGGAGATGCCACCCAGAACCTGAGGAGATCCTACCCAGATGGTGAGGAGATCCCACCCAGAAGGGACCAACTTCTTTGAGGGACCACCTTGCTCAGGACCATCCTTGAGGAACCAGAACCCTGATCCAGAAGCAGAGGAGATGCCACCCAGAACCCTCAGGACCAACTTTGAGGAACAAGAGCCTTAATCCAGAAGCTGAGGAGATCCCACCCAGAAGCTGAGGAGATCCCACCCAGAAGGGACAAGCTTCTTTGAGGGACCACCTTGACCAGGATCAATTCCTTTGAGGGACCACCTTGCTCAGGACCATCCTTGAGGAACCAGAGCCTTAATCCAGAAGCTGAGGAGATCCCACCCAGACCCTGAGGAGATCCCACTGCTGCTTGAGCTGGTCACCTCTGCTAACCTGGTCACCTCTAATCCCACCACCAAGCCCAAGATGTCCACCCTTACCTGTGATGGATGTAGGTAGGGCTCAGGTGACGCCAGGTTGGTTTGGACCGAGACACTTTTCTCCAGGAGGATCTGAGGGAATCCCAACTTCTCAAAGGTGTTCCTCTTCCAGTGCTTGTTGTCCTGCTGGGCCAAGGCCTCATCTTCACTGAAGGCTCTGACCACAGGTCCTGGCATGGGCAGGGGCAGAGCTCCATCACTCTCGTACCCCGATCCATCCTTCTGGGAATCCCAACTGCTCCGTTGCTTCATGTGGTAATGGACCTGTTGAGCTTCCCAAGCCAAACGTGCTTGGGCCAAGAACGGCTCTGGGAAGTTCTTCTCCACCTCCACAGCTTTGCTCTCCGTCCTGCTGATGGAGGACCTGCTGGTGGCCCCTTGAGGAGCTCTTTCCTCCCCCAGCATCTGCTCTCCCAACCCTTCGCCGTCGGAGGAGACGTTGACCTCGTGCGTCGCCGAAGGTTTTCGGCTCTTCCTCTTCCTGCTGGATGGGGAGTACCCAGTAGAGGACAACGTGTCTTGTTGGCTTGACCATGACATGGAGTCTTCTCCTTGAGTAGCTTGACCACCACCACTGGAGCAGAACTCAGCTCCTTCCATGCTGCTGTAATCACCTGATTTGATCTCCAAGCGTTGATCCCTCACCAAACATGGACTTGGTTGTAACGAGTAGGATCCACCACTTGGGTTGGGAGAGTATCTTGACCTCAACCCTGTCTTCATCTTGGGGCTGGACCCTGTTTGCTCCACGTAGACCAACTGTCTGACATACTCCTTCCCAGCAGGACTATACTCCAAACTCATGAACCGATCAGGACATTTCTGCTTGGTGAGGACCAACTGTTGGTAAGGTGAGTTGCAACTCGACTTGGCAAGAAACCCTTGAGGTTTCCTGAGAGGAGATTTTTGAGGAGAAGAAGCAGCTTGGAAGGTCCCACTCGCTTCATACTGCATATCCACTGGAGGTTCATCATAGATGGGAGCAGGAGACTCCACCGGAGGTTCCTCGTAGAGCGGAGGTTCGTACGCGTAACGCGGCGACGACGGCTGCGACTCGCCCGGCACTTTCCGCGTCGGTGGAGCTCCTTGGAGGGGGGAGCAGAAGACCTCCCCACGGTTGAGGAGAGGAGAACAACTCCCCCCGTGCTCGGCTCGTTTCAGGTAAGGAGATGTTTTCCTCTCGGCGAAGAAGACGGAACCGTCGGCGTCGAAGGTTTGGAGATTGGGCGAGTGGTGGCCACCGGAAGGACGTCGGGAACGGGATGGGCCGTGGGACTCTGAGGAGTAACCATTGCCTTGGTGGAGGAGGAAACTTGGCTCACGTTCCGTCACCTTGATCAGCATCCTCTCCTTGGCTCCGGCGTGCCAGCGCAGGGAGGAGGTCCTGGGGGGGAGAAATGGGGTGGGAGGTCAGATGGAGAAGGTCTAGGGAGCCTCAGACC